AATAATAAAAATAATAATAATAATAATATGGAAAAAAAAGAAAACTTTTATAAATCATGTCCACTTTATGGAACAAAAAAAAGTCACCAAAAAAATACAATTTTTAACGGAAAAAATAAAACACAAACTTTGTATATACGAGTTGTAGAACGGTTTGCATTTTTTGTGAATTTTTCAATTAATCAAAAACGTTTTCTTTTTATTATTACTATTATTATTTAATAAAGAAAACACAAGAAAAAAACACGTGAAAAGAAAAAATAATAATAAGCATAAAAGTCTTCTTCTTCTTCTTCTTCTTCTTCTTCTTCTTCTCTTGTTACCATGAAAGAAAGTAATGTTTTGTTTTTTTTTTCCTTTCCTTTTCTTTTTTTCATTTTTACCAAAATGTGTGAAGGGAAAATAAAGAAAGACAGTAAAAATATAACCGAAAAGTATGAAAAAATACAGATTTGTTTTTTTTTTGGAAGAAATTTAAAGAAAAAAAAAGAAAACACAAGAAAAAAAGTTATTGTCCCACGCTTATGTAAAACTGTAGATGTAATGATATTTTGTGCATGATAATGTCAGTGTTGTATGAATATTTAAAACGTATAAAATAAAAGGGTGCAAACACACTACTTAATGATCGTTTTATTTTTTTTAATGTATACGCATTTCTCCATTATGTATAAGTGCTAAACTTGTTTAAGAATATGTTAACGACGGTTATTTATGTTGTATAATCGTTTCATGGTCGTGAATCATCTAGGTTAATGAAATACCTCGAGAGGTACCACGTGAGAATCGTGTTTTCTGTGTTTAATTTCATCAGAAAATGTGAAAATTAAACCACAGTTCGCATGCAAAAAGAAATGGAAACATTTTGTTCTTCTTGTAAAATCCATTGTCGATTCCGATGGTCGAGGAACCGTCACGAAAGAATTTCGCATGAAATTTCTCTATTTAAATGAAAGAGAATATGTGCTTGGTAGGAAATAAATTTAAAAATATAAAGTTTTCTTACGTTAGTACGCGTTGGAAACGTGAACAAGAAGGATGGTTTCAATTATCTAACCAATGGATTGATGGAATAAGGCAAAACGCAACACTTGGGAGATCTGCCAAGAGGGGTGCCATTTTGGAGAACCGTCTGCGGGGTGAATGGCCCACTATTTCTGAAATGGAAATAGTGGGCCCTTTCACGTGGAAACTTCGGAAAACACGCTGGTCAGGCGCGAACCCGCGACCATTGTTCGGTAGTCTTATACGCTTACCCACTGGTGAATCTTCATGAATGGATGTGCCATCTTCCATTATTTAGCATTAGCTTCACATACCTACTTTTGTTAAGTTAAATAAATATAATATCAAAATTCTATTGTGTTTTTCCCCCGTCTATTTGCATCAAACTTATCTTCAAATCCTCCAAAATTAAGCAGTTTTCTCTTCTAATTTTTGATGCCTCAATTTAAAAACATTGAATTTACATATTTTTTTACAATTGTATAACTAAAATGTTATGAGCCATTATAATAAAATCATTTATAATGACTTTTGAAAGCCTCACAATTTCCAAACAATCAAGTCAATCAAAGAATAGCTTTAATTACAATTTAAAAAGTGCCTCGAATATTCCAAGTTTTATAAGCATCGTTATAGAATTTAATAACAGAATTATTGTCAAAAATACATAGACATATATATATTTTTTTAGCATTAGATATATTTTATTTCGATATTAATTAGATATATCAAGTATTATTCTTTAGGGGTATACGTGACAAATCTCATTAGGTTCGTGGTCTTAAGCGCTTTGCAAATTTAGAAAATATTCAATTTTTAAATAAAAATGCTTGAATTTTACATTTTTGCAGTTTAATTTTAATTTTTATTCAGAAAAAATTAGTTTAATTTCTATAAAAACGTAGCGTAACAAGGTTAAAAAAAAAAATGCAATATTTTACAATGATCTAAACTTGGACTTCGTCCATCATTCTTAGACGTCCCTTGTGTATGAAGTGCTAGTTATCAATTACATGTATAAAAGGATAAAGAATCAAATTCTGTTGACATTCTTCAAAGTACGACATAAGGGATGTTTAACTTCCTTGATATATTCCTGAGTAAATCAATTTTTAATGCGGTTTTTTCTTTTTCTTTTTTTTTTCCTTTTAAACCAAAGAAAATTGATTTGAGGAGTAAATCGAAAGAGTAAATCGCATTTTGTAAAATAAAATATAATTCAAAATCTATTCTTAATTACATTATACTACATAAACAGATATAAAAAGTAAAAATATAATTAGAAAAAAAATAATTTTACAAGAACAGAGGGATGAAAATTCACACGAGTGAAGGACGATTTATATTCAAAATTTCACTGTGCTATCGAGGTATTTCGTAAATAAGCTGGGTATTTTTTCGAAGAAAACGGAGGCCCTCAGTGGTTCTTACCTCCCTACAAAATTAATATTATTTCTATTAACAGAAAATAAAATATTTAAGACTGTTCTTTTTTTTATTAATAAAGAAGCATTGTATGAATTTCATTTGTCCGAAAAGAAAGGCCTCTTGAATGTTCTGCATGTTATCAGGCCGAATTTACAGATAAGCCCAACAAGCTGAAGATGGGCCTCGTTATGTGTTATAGATTAAAGCCAGTTTCAACTTGCATTTATCACTCAGTATGTATATATTTTAATTTCTTTCCTCCCACTTAAAAGCTTCATTTCTTCCATATTTTTTAATGTAACTCTTCATTAATTCTCGCAGGAAATTGTGGTAGTGTTTAATATTTTTACCTATAAGTTTCTAATTGTATACAGTCGACCCCCCCTATAACACTGTTGATAATTCCGTTTTATATGAATTCCATGTTGTGCGAGTCACTTAGATTTTACAAACAATTGAGCTGTTCATAGCCCGGCTCAAGTATTTGTAAAATCTAAGTGACTCGCACAACATGGAATTCATATAAAACGGAATTATCAACAGTGTTATGGGGGGGTCGACTGTATATTTAATTTAGTCTCAGATATTATTATTATTATTTTAAAATTGAAACCGTTAACGTTCCTTTTCCGTTTTCAATTTCTAACGGCTTTATATAAATTTCAAATTTCAAATTACACAGACCGTTAGACAGATACGTAGTGTATTGTATACATAGAAACAACAAAGCAGCTGCTAATAAATGACTATTTTTTGTATATAAGACAGGCGAATCAAATCAAAAATATGACAAAAAGTATGAATGATATGTTTTCTTGATACTTATGTTTTATTTTATTTTATTTTTTTATATTTTCCTCCCTTTTTTTCATATCAAATATTAAAAATTTCTTCAGTCATAGAGAACGAGTGGAGGAAAGGGGGAGGAGGATAATGCTAAAAATTGTGATGTATGACCCAGAGGAGTTGAACCCAAGCGAAAATTAAAGCGCTATATCCTAAGATATTTACATACAATGAATAATAAAATTTCTCACGTTTCTATTTGGATTCAAAGATAGCTTTATGCGATGTTTTCAAACTCTTACTCCATCAGAGGCACTTCTTTCATCTGGATTTGAAATCTTAGAAGATAAACAGTTCTCTTTTCATGCATCCAGTCTCTAATTTGGTTTTCAGTTGAATATAAGCTCCTTCACTGCCAAATAAAATGAAATATTCCGAGGACATTTGTCATACTGGCAGCTTTTGGGACCTGAGTTTGTCCAACTGTTATTTTCTCTTCTTTGAGAAAATGGTCTTACCATATATTTACATCCAGACGTTTTAACATTTAAACATCTCATTCCTTCCTATTTTAAATGGAATAACTGAAGATTTAAAGGAATTTTTAATGTTACAGGAAATAAAAATACACTCTCCTTTCTCCCCCCCACCTCTTCCTGTTGCTTACCTTTATTCTCGTTGTGTTAATCCTGTAAATTTTTTTTTTAAATAATAAAAAAATAATGAAATTGTTTCGAATCTCCTCTGCATACTTTTGCGTGTACTAAAACCCTTTTCTACAATTATGAACTCCATCCTCTTATAAAATTACTTTTCATCTCCCTCTTCCTCTCTCTCTTCTTTAAACAATTCAGGAGGAAGGTCGTTGATCTCATTGTTATTAATTTTTAAAAAATTGATAGAATGCTGCCGCTCCTGTCTTGAAATGGAATTTTTGAATTTAAAAATAGATTAATAGATGTAAAAATGAATTTTATTTTTCTTTTTTTTTTACAAAATAAACAGCAGTTAAGTACACTTAACTTATAGATAAACGATTGTTTGCGCGCTACTTTAAATAATAAAAATAAAATATTAAAAAATGGGATTAAAATATAATTAAAAATTGG